AAAAGAAATTATAGAAAATCGAGACTATCTTAAACAAATTATTGATATTATTTTATACTTGATGCGTCAAGGGATTTCATTTAGAGGCCATGATGAAACAAAAGAGTCTTTAAACCAAGGTAATAAGGTACCTAATCTGTGTGTGGAATGTAGTATTTTATGTCTGATGTCTGTTTAGTTAATTATTATTTTGTTATTGCCTATTATATATTATGTTTTATTTAACAATTTGTTTTATACAATATTAGGTAATTTCAAAGAGGCCTGCCAGTTAATGGCTAAGCATGATATACAGTTCAAAATTAAACTAGAAAGTAAGTTTAATTTTACAAGTCCTGACATTCAAAATGAGTTGATAAATATTTGCAGTGAAGTTTTAAAAACTAATATTATTTCTCAAATAAAATCAGTTGGTTTTTTTGCTATAATGGTCGACGATGCCAGGTACTTGACACTACTTGTTCATATATTACCATTTTAACAGTCATTGGCTATTTGCTAAATTTTTTTTAATTTTTGAACTTAATTGGTTAAAGAATCAATACTAATAACTTAGCTTTTAATTATTATATAATTATAAAAATATAAAAATAATTTATTTTAATTTTAACTTTAAAGGTGTCGTAAATTAGAATATATGTCTATATGTGTGCGGTATGTAAACAATTTAGAAGTATATGAAAGATTCCTTGGTTTCATGGATGTGTCTGAAAAACAAGATGCACAGACACTTGTTAATACAATTTTTCAATTTCTTGAGCAATCAAATTTGGAAAATATACCTATATTTGCACAATCTTACGATGGAGCGAGTGTTATGAGTGATAAAAGAAATGGTGTCCAGAGTAAATTACAAGAACGATATGGGTGTGCTATTTATACACATTGCATGGCACATAGAATATGTTCTGAGTGACTCAGAATCTAAAATTTGAAATAATTATTCATCAGTTCATGACATTAGGCACTCACGCACATTTTTAAAATTTTTACAAAACCAATATTTTCCTACTCTATTATTTTTTAAACCATCAATTAAATAATAACCAATTTATCTTTAGAAGTCATTTGGTGTTGGTTAGGTAAATTAATAAATAATGTTTCATTTATTTCGTGGTTATGAGTATCACACATTTTATCCACATTCAATTTATCCATATCATTTATTTTTGAGTAAATAAATGATGGACACTTTTGTTTTGTTGTCCTAAATAATGTTGTGCAATAATGTATTATAAAACAAAACATATATATATATATATATATATATATATACGTATACATAAATATATACTATTTAGAATACTATACATGTTTTTTTTTTTATATATTAGAGAAACCCGCGGCAACATAGGCCATTGGGAGTGGGGTGGTACGGTAGTGGTTATTTTTGTGTATTTGTTTGGAGGTTTTTAAGTTGGTAGGGTTTTAACATGTGTTTGTGTATGTGTGGCAAGGATATGTTGCTAAAAATCCCGGGAGGTTACCCATCCGGGAGCTAGCAACTGCGGCTGGTACGGTCTAACGTACGGCTACGGTGAGCCCAACGCTCAGTGCGTTTCTGCAGATTAAACGTACGACCACACCTCACTAAGCCACAAACATGTTTTTCTTTTATTCTGAACTCTACCATGGATGCATGTACCTATACTTTACAAAATAATATTTTAAGTTTATCATAGTTTTTTTTTTTTTTTTTTACAGGTTTTTTTCGCTGCTTTTAGCAGAATCCATAAATTTTGCATTTTTGTAAACAATTAACGCTTGTTCAAATTGCTCAAAAGAGTTGAATTTGTCTCTTATTTGCAGAGCCTAAAAAAAGGTGGCCAAGGTAGATTTTCGATGTATTTAAATTTAATAAAAAATTACCTCATCGGTAACATCTTTATTACAGATTCATCTCATTTGCAAGTTTACCGTTTTATAGCATAAATAATAATTATGATATGATTTCTAAATAAAACGTATATATTATATTTATATATATATGAATGAATAATGTAATATTATGATTATATGATTCTAATATTGTATAATTTAGAAAGATGTATATTAATTATTGTATTATCATTGTTATACTGTAATCAAAGGCATTTCTCACGCACGCGTATTTCTTATCATAGCTATAGTTGTCTGGGATATAGACACAGCGGATATATTTTACAAGAATTTTAACTATTACTGTATAGGTCATCAATAATATAATTCAGCGGTTCCCAACCTTTTTTTCCTTCTGTACCCCTAAGCTTAATATTTTTCTAGATTGTACTCCTCTTTATATTTTTAAAAATTCTTCACATAACCACTCTTAAAACATTTAATTAAAAATAACAATAATATAATATAATATAGTAATGTATATTATGTATATATTTTTATATTGAGTAATAAAATGCATAAAAAAATTACTTATTTTACTTCTTTAATCACAAAAAATTTAAATGAAAACAATTAGTGAGATCCTTGACCTTGTTTCAAATTGCATAGTTTTTTTTAATATCAGATTCAAATGATGGGAGATATAATCTTAAATCTTGAGCTGCATTTAGTTTATTTCTATTTTTATTTTTAATAAAGATATATGAAGAAAACTCTCTTTCGACTAACTCCGTACTAGCAAATGGCAATAGGAACTCAATTGCCTTGTCAGAGAATCGCTCATATTCGTTTCTAATATCTACCCAAAAATTAATAAGTTGTTTTCTTTTAAACTCACTTTTTAAAGCTGTCACATGAATGTTCTATTAGGTTTTATTTTTCTACGATCGATAAAGATGTAACTTTTTGAAAGAATTCTTCATTAAAAGAATTTGAAATCCAATTGTTTTCTTTTTCAGGTTTGGAAAAGTATTTTTTGAATGATAATATTAACCCTTCCAGATGTTCAATTATTTTTTTCTAAATTTCCTGAGACATAACTAGCTTATTTTCAGATAGAAAGTTGTGTAACGTTTCAAATACTTCAGGTTGGTCATTTTCAATACATACCCTCCAAAAATCTATTTTTTTTTAACCATTGATTTAATTTTATCCAAAACACTAAATATCGTTATTGAATTTTTTTGAATTGCTAAATTTAAATTGTTTTGTAAAAAAATATGAGATAAATACGCAAGCACCTGGAGTCAATTTCGGTCGTGTAGATTTGGAGATAATTGATAAGAATGATCTTCAAAAAATATTTGGACCTCATGTCTGAGTTCGAATAAACGTGCAAGTACCTTGCCACGGGATCGCCACCTTACTTCTGTGTGAAAAAGTAAACTTGAATGAGGACTCATCATGTCTTCACATAAAGCTTGAAATATTCTCGAATTTGTAGAGCTTGCTTTTATAAAATTAACTAATTTAACAGCTTCATCAAGTACGAGTGTTAGTTCCCCTGGAAGGTTTTTAGATGCTAAACTTTGTCGATGAATTCAACAATGACCCCAGTTTATATTAGGAACTATTTTCATAACACGACCTCGAAGACCAGAATATATACCTGATATTGACTTTCCACCATCGGTACATAGTCCATAACAATTGGACCAATTAATACTCATTTTTTTGAAATAATAATCAATAGCATTTAATATGTGGCGAATGCCGGCGGACATTCTAGAACAGAGGTTCCTAAACTATGGGTCGCGACCCAAAAGTGGGTCGCGATTATACTTTTGGTGGGTCGCGCTATATTTTTAAATAATACAAAAATATAATCATCTATTACTTTTCGTTGATGTTCAAAGTTCAAATTCAGTTTTATCGTCAATCCTTATCTGTGAGTGTGACAATTACGAGTTTACCAGCGGCCGTGTCAWATCGACACAATCARATWAATAAAGAATAGTTATTGAAAATATAACGATTTACCTATCCRAAACAAATTAATAGATACGTGAATRTCGYATGACGTYCAAAACTTTTGATTATTTTCAGTAACACGCGGCACATCGAATACGATACACGTACGCAGTTTTATATTAAATAGTACTTTTTGTTTTAAATAAATTCATTTTTTTGTACTTTTGTACAACTATGGATAATTGGTTAAACAAAAAGTCAATGAGTCAAAGTCAAGAAGAAATAGAGACAATATCTGTGTCAACAGTTAAAAAAAGAAAATTAAATTATGATGAGCCTTCAACAAGTTCTTCGGAATTAAAACAAACTAACCAAAAAGCTACGTACGCTTCATATAAAATATGTTTACGAATTGCTCAAACTGTTAAGGCTCACACAATTGGTGAGTCTTTAATTTTAACAGCAATCAAAGACGCAGTCGAAATCTTGTTTGATAAAAATGTTTAAAAGAAGTTGAAAAGTTATCGCTTTCAAATAATACAGTGTCGCGTAGAATCGATGAAATTTCTGAATGGGTAGAAATAAACTGATTGAAAGAGTTAAATTGAGTAGATGGTTCTCATTAYAGCTAGACGARTCCACAGATATCCAAGGCTTATCTCAGATGATTGTTTTCGTACGTTACATATGGATGAATGAATCTCACGGGGATTATTTGTGCTGTGAACCGATTATTCAAGGTACAAGTGATGACATTTTTAATACTCTTAATACCTATATAACAGCGAAAGGAATTGAATGGACGAAATGTGTCGGGTTATGTACGGACGACGCCCGAGCATTGTGTGGTAAGAACAGTAGTGTTATTACTAAAATTCGTGAAATTAACCCTAATTTGCCATGGATGCACGTATTTCGTGGCCGCCGTCACGAAGGTTCTCGAGTATCTATGCGCACCGTCACGTGTCGCCCCGAGAAAATTCTATCGGCGTATATAACACGCTTCGTCACCAGTTACTAGTTTAGTTGTTAGCTCTATTTCGTTAGTGTAGCTATTCACGTGTGTCTTGAGTTTTGTAATATAGTTTTGTTAGTTAGTTATTAGTGTAGTCGTGTATTTCTTTATATCCTTCCTACACCAATACGGCAATACCTACAAATATATCTTCACCAGTTGTGCGTTCAGACAATAAATGACAAAGCAAAACATTTTATTCGACTTCATTATTATTTAAATACCTTGCAATAACAAGTAAAACTGCGAAATTAGTAACATCGGTGCTTTCATCAACTTGAATAGTGAAAATTGTACTGTTTTTTATTCTATCTATCACTGTAAATTCAATATCTTCAGACATATCCCGAATTCGATGAGAAATTGTATTATTTGAAAGAGGAATACTGTTTATCTTTTTTACGTTCTCTTCTCCTAACATACACTGAACGGTATTTTTTTTACAAGGAGAAATAAAATTTTTAGCTATTGTATGATTCTTACCACATTTTGCAATACAATAACTAAGATGATAACTAGTTTCAATCGCGTTTTGGTTATTTTTATTAGCTGGCTTTATSTATGATGTCAAAATCGAGGTATTCTCATTATTTCTAGCTAAACTTCTAAAAAAATCACATTCTTTATTTTTATAATCTGCATGTCTTGTTTCTAAATGTCTCAAGAGCAGAGAAGGTTTCATGCAGCTATTCGACAATACTTCACCACACACAATACACTTAGATTTAGGATAGTCAAAATCTCCTACATATGAAAATCCATATTTTATATAATCATCAGTGTATTTTCTCTTTTTACTTTTTTGAAGAACTGAAGACTGTGCATTTTCTGTATGTTGTACCAAATCTTTAGCTAAATCTTGAGAAGTACTTGTTAAATGAATATTTTTCCAACTTGGTCTAGTTTTTTTATTGCACCAGTTTTTAATCATAATGCACTTATTTAAATTAAATTACAGAATATTAAGCAACCACCGAACAACAATTTGAAAACAATGGAAAATAACGATTTATAAAATATAAATAAGAAAAGTTTTCATACAATAATCACAGTTTGAAAGCAATCGACATCCTGATTCCTATATAAAATTAAGTTTTACCCGTGTGCACGAATGTGTGATAACAATTTAAGCCGGACGAAGTTCAATACACACCAACACCGCAATCTACCATATAATAATGTTATATAATCTATATTCTATAATAAGATAGTATTCTATACTCTGTAATCCACATCTATAAGATAATAAAAACATTTTATTTGTGTGACACAAGTTTTCATTTGTAATACTAACTGTAATTGTATAACTTGTAAATAAAGATTGTAAATATTACGTTTTGTCAAATAAAAAAAAAATAATAATAAATAAATAACGTATATTGAATATTCCCGAAACGAATAGTTATAAATTCACAAAATTCAATATTTTTTTGCCATTACTCAATTTTTTTTTGCGTAGCCCTTGAGATCATCACGAGTACTCCTAGGGGTACGCATACTCCTAGTTGGGAACCGCTGGACTATAATTAAATGAATTTTGAATTCTCATTTTTTTTTTTTTTAATACTTACAAAAAAAAAAATGTTTCAATTTTATTAATTTGTAATGAAGGTGCAGTGCATAGTTTTTTATACAGATTGTCAATTTTTTTCGTTGTCTATTTATATATTTATTTTTTTATTTAATCACAATGTGACAAATATAATTAGTTTTACTGTCTCAAAACGGATTATATTCGTTAACACATACATGCTCCTGTCAAAATCTAACATTTTTTATGATAAATTTTATTTAAAACACATTATCAAGTTCCTTCTTTAGATAAAAAAAAAATACGTACGGTTTTCGACTATAAATGATAACGTTCAATTAATTTCTAACTATGAAGATACAAAATATTTTTCATAAATAGATTACAAGCATACTATGATTAATGTAATGACTCTAGATATTTGGGGGAAAAGTATTTCGATTGTTGCAGATGTTTTCTAACCTTTTACTGGTTAAAGTTATTATTTTTTATTTTATTAAATAGTATGATGCAATTTAAACAAACAAATAAATAAATACTACTGTTTTAAAAAAGTCACAACGATATCTGGATACGTATAATACCTAGTAATAATTATAAACAAGATCTCGAATAATATAACAACATTACTTTTATTAATACGAGATATGATGCTAATAATTTTCAAAAGTATCTACCTTATAAACTATGGATTTAAAATTGTTAGACATAACAATGAAAATATATTTTCTTCAGAAAGACATACACATATTATAATTATATTATGCATTTATAACATTAGTTGTCAACCAATGTACCACTACACACTGGTGTGCCTCAAGTATTTTCTAAGTGTGCCGCTAGCTTTTGAATGTATTTTTTTATTTAATTAATTAAATTTAATTAAAAAAAAAAAAAATAATAAATATATTTAACGCTATTCATGGCATAGACATTTGCCATGAATATATTGTGAATACCACAGTGTACCGTGTTAAAATAAAAAGTTCAATTTAAAATGTTTGATTTATATAAAATTCCACTTGTTATTAATCCTAGTGAATATTATTTGGTATATTAATCTTACGAATTTTCAAAATTAAAATGTAATTATTGTAATATTTAAGATTAGCGTCCTAATGGCCCCATCAGATTCCAAGATTAACACTTGTTATACTTTTAAAATCAATGCGGATAGTTTTTCAATCTTTGGAACTCGTATAAGGGAAACAGTTGTTGATACAACTCTTGGATGAAAAAAGATTATAAGATAGTAATGTTAAAACAATTTTCATTTTCTRAATATTTGATTTTAAAATTTAAAGTTTGAAATACATAGACTGGCAGGGAGTTAAATGAAGAAAATCATTATTATGTAAAGTGTCCGAAGATTAAAATTTCAAGCAACATATGCTGTGTATACAATTTCATTTAAGTATTGAAGTAGACAGTGAAATTAGCTTAGGTAATTCAGAAGTCAATCATTCAACGGTTGATGTTTTTAAGATACCTATTCTAATACTGTATCTACAGGGTACCCCACGGGGATCTGACAAATGAAATAACTTTTTTTCTAATCAATATTTAAAAAAAAAGAACATTTTTAAATAGTTACAATTTCAATTTGTTTTAATTATAATGTTTCATACATAATATAAACTAGATCGTAATTTACTTAACAAGAATATTGATATTTAAAAAAATTGTAAAAAATCAACCATTTGACTTAGATAATTTTTTTTACCGTATACATTTTTCTCAAAACAAGATTTACAAATTGACTATGTAGGTAATAAAAAATAACCAGTCGAATTTCTGTAGTTATTAATCACGTTAGAAAAAAATTAAACTATGAGATATTTTAGTCATTGTCGAGTTTAATTTTACTTATGCAAACGTTGTTGCATATTATTAGTAATTTTAATCATATAAAATGCAGTGATAAAGATAAAACGAGTCTGAAAAAACTCCCAACAGGGTATATTACCTATGTCCTAAATAGGATATAAAGGTATGTTCTGAAACCTCATCCCCTCGACCTCCTCGACCTCCGCATCCCTACGACCACCTCGACCTCCTCCACCTCCTCGACCTCCTCGCCCGCCGCCCGACTCGTCACGTGTGTGACGTATATTTAACCCCTCCCCCGCCGACCACCGCCGAGTTCGCCCGACTAGTAACCAACACATAGCGAGCATGTGACAACACTTATCGTTATCAACATTCTTTATCAGCGTATGGGAACAACAGCCACCTAGTTATCAATATTATTATCATACACATACCATAATTATCGTACACACCATATTATCGTACACACCATAATTATAGTACACACCATAATTATTGTACAGCATAAGTAGTATATATATACCATTCCTGGCGCACTTTTATTTTATCAGTAAAAGATCACAAAGAAAACAATGTGCAAAAAGATCAGACAATTGAAATGCAATAATTATTAAAATATTTTTCATAATACAACA